GTTTCAATTTCCATGCTTGTGATTCGTTTGTTCAATTCATCCTGTTTCTTCCGACATTAGTCTTGGTAAACTATATTGACCTAGAAATGTGGCAACGTTTAACATTATCAAATTTGTTGGTATTTAGTTGTTCAAAGTAATTTTTCATCAACCTTTGTTTTTCTGAGCTATCTGTGGTGACTTCTCTTCATTTGTGTTTTAGTTTATTAATGTTTTCTGTCTTCTTTCTTTTTTGCTAGCCTCGCTAGAGGTTTGTCTGTTTTGCTTATCTTCTCAAAGAACAAGCTTTTAGATTCATTGATTTCTTTGCAGTCTTTTTTTTATCTCAATTTCATTTATTTCCACTCTTACTTTTTATTATTTCCATTCTTCTACTAACTTTGGATCTTTTTTGTTCCTCTTTTTCAGGTTGCTGTGGGCATAGTATTAGATGGTTTGGGGTTTTTCTTGTGTCTTAACGTGGGCCTGTATTGCAATTATCTTCCCCTATAGGACCCCTTTTGCTTCATCCCATAGATTCTGTAACTTGAATCGCCGTTTTTATTCATCTCAAGGTATCTTTTTATTTCTGCTTTTGATTTCCTCTTTTAACCAATAGCTATTAAACAACATGTTGTTTAATCTCTATGTGTTCATAGTTTTTCCTGTTTCTTTTCTCCTTATACTTGATTTCTAACTTTATAGCTTATGGTGAAAGAGAATACTAGGTATAATTTTGATCTCTGTAGATTTATTGACAATTGATTTGTGCCCCAATATGTGGTCTATTCTTAAAAATGTTTCATGGGCACTAAAAAAAAATGTGCTTACAGTTTTTTGGGGCAGAGTAGTTTTTGGGCTACAGTAGTTCTGTAGATATGTTAGACCTATTTGACCTAGCTTTAGGTCAAATTTAAGCTATTGTTCCCTTTTTGTCTTGTTGATCTATTCTTTGTTGTAAGTGGAATATTAAAATCTCCTTGTATTATTGTGTTGCCAATATCTCTCTTTAGTTCTGCTATTAATTATCTAATGTTCACGGTGATTCATTCTGAAGTGCACGTATATTTATGACAGTTATTATTGTTTTATTAGACCCTTAGTCATAATGTTGTATATGTTTTTATCTCTTATTACATGTCTTAATTGAAAGTCTTATAAGTATAGCTTATTCCCAGGTTGTTGTTTTTGCTTTGTTTTTTAAAAGATTTATTGTATTTATGTATGCATACAAGAACTGGGGTGTAGGCCAGAGGTGAGGAGGGTGAGAGGACTCACCAGAGACAAAGTGGGGAGCAGAACAGGCAGATTGGCTGAAATCCACTGCTGAGGGGAGCAGTGGGCGAGACAGGAGAGGTCTGCTGCGCCCTGTGGGCTGGCTCTCTTGCCAGGATTGAACTCAGGCCGCAGTGATGATAGTGTGATAGCGCTGAGACTTAACCCCTGCGCCACCAGGGTGGCACACCCTGCTTTGTTTTTTTGGTTGCCATTTGGTGGAGTAACTATCTTCCAGTCTTTAACTCAAGTCTGTGTTTGTCCTTGTTGGGAAGATGGGTTTCTTGTGACGAACAGATGTTTGGGTGGGCTTTCTTTTGAAATCCACTCAATCACTCCACATATTTTGATGGGTGAATTTAAGACGCTATCATTTAGAGTGATTATTGAGACAGAAGCACTCATTGCCATCTTGTGCTTTTGTTTTTGGGGGGTTGTCTTGTCCTTTTATTTTTTATTTGTTGATGTCTTCCTCATATATTTTGCTTAGATTCTATTTCTACTGTGCTATTTCTGCTATTAGTTTCTGCTATTAGTTTTCTGCTATTAGTTTTTGTTTGAGGGTTCTACTGAGGGTAGCATATGATGGGGCACATGTGAGCCACTGGGTGGCCTGGGGTCTGGCTGGTTCTGACAGGCCACAATATTACTTTCCTCCTCCTCCATGTTAAAGCAGTTTAGGTGTCTGTTGCCGCGATGTTCATTGTTCTGTTGTTTTATAATAAGCCCTTTAGAATTTCTTCCATGTGCAACTTCATCTTGACAAATTCTCTTAGTCTTTGTTTTTTAGTAAAATTCCTTACTCTTCCTTCTGTCTTGAGTATTAATCTTGCTGGGTAAAGGATGCTGGGCTGGAAGTCTTTTTCTTTTTGTACTCCAAATAGCAAATAAATAAATATCTCCTTCTTGTCTTTTCATGCTTCTATGGTTTCCATTGAGTCTGATTGGTGCTTCCTTATAGATTATCTGTTTTTCTCTTGATGTTTTTATTTATTTATTTATTTATTTTAAAGATTTATACAAGAACCGGGGTACAGGCCAGATGCACGGGAGGGTGAGAGGATTCACCAGAGACAGAGCGGGGAACAGAACAGGCAGACTGACTGAAACACACTGCTGAGGGGAGCAGTGGGCGAGACAGGAGAGGTCTGCCATGCCATATGGGACCCTCGCTGGCTGGCCGGGATCCAACTGGCACTGCAGAGGCTTCAGACAGCTTCACAGCGCTGCGCTCAACCGCCTGCACCACGAGGGGAGGCCCCTCTTGATGTTTTTAATATTCTGTCCTTGTGATTGGCTTGCAATAGCTGTACCATAACGTGTCTTGGTGTATGTGTGTCTGGTATTATTTTGTTTGGAACTCTTTGGGCTTCTTGGCTCACAACATCTGGTTCATTTCCCAGACTGTGATGATTTTAAACAATTATTTCCTTAAATAAATTTTTGATGCCTTTCTGCCTCTCTTCTCCTTCTGGGACTTCCCATGACATGGCTATTATTCTTCTTTAAATTGTCCCAAAGGGCTCTACTATTATTTTCAATTTTTTTATTTCCTTTTCTCCACATTGTTCTACATGTGTTCCCCATATAGAACTGTGTTTTGAGCTTATTAATTATCTCCAGGTATGAAAGAGGACCAGGACGCAGGCGCCGAAGGCTCAGGTCCAGGGTCCATTCCTGCAGTGTGTGGGTACAGAGCTGTGGGGGGGTTCTCAGCCATCCCCTCCTCTAGACCAGTTCCTCGGTCTTGGATTTGTCAGTCTCCTGTCTGCTTCCACTCTTGGCCATTCTGAGGACTAGATGTAGTGTGGGTACAGATTGTCAACATGGGGTCACAGGCCGGAAGTTGTTTTCTTCTCAAGCAGAGTGGTCAGACTGTTTGCTCTTATTAGCAGATGCTTGAGCACAGGCTTTGTCAAGTGTTCCTTTGTTGCTCCAGGCCAGGCCTGGAGTGGGGGTGGCAGGTGTTTTGACAACACCCGTCTCCAGTTCCCACAGTAGCCTCTTCTCTGAGGAGACACGGGTTATCCAACATGCTTTTCCGCATGAATTCAGGCTCCGGCTGTCCTACATCGAGCGCCTCAGGCAGAAGCTACTCATCCTCGCTTGGAACCCCCACCCCTCTAGCTCTCCAACAGTGCAGCCGCCGTCCAGGGTGTCAACCTGCGCACCCCTTATCCAGAGAAGTGCCACTTCTCAGGAGTCCCCAACATTAGCATGTGCCTAAGCCAACAACGACAGGGGCTCTGCACAGCAGCCACCCCTCTTTATGGGTGACGCTGCCTGGTAACACCATAAACAGTTCACTGAAGGTTTCCCCGACCTCTTCCCACAGTTGTTCCTAGTACGTTCTGTGTTTGTCTGTTTTTCCTGTGGGGGTGGGGGTGGTAATTTGACTTGTTCTGCTGCAATCTAGGTGTCAACATGCAGAGGAGACCAGCCTAGCGCGTCCTCTGCCCCCGTATTACCAACTCAAAAGGAAGGTTTTTGTGCCCTTGAAAAAATGTTCCAATTGTGATAAGAAGCACAACATGCAAATTTATCATCTTAACCATTTTTCAATGTACACTTTTTTTGAAGCGTTCACTTTAGTATCATTAATATAGTCGCCGTGTAACAGATCTCCAGAACATTCTCCTCCTGAAGGGCTGACACTCTGATCCCTTTGCCCCTCCTCCCAGCCTCTGGCACCCACCATTCCATTTTCTGTCTATGCATTTGATTACGGAAGACAGAGAACATGAGTACAATTACTCAGTAGGGACACGCAAATATCCTTGAGCTGTGCCGCTTGCAGTTGTTTTGGCTCTGAACCAGAGGTATGATTATTGCATGGGTGGACTGCTTTGGAACCCAGCCTGGGGCTACCAGAATTTCTTAATTCCTTATCTGAAGTTATACCTGTGGGTATATATAGCACGGGGAGAAAACAGACTCATCCTGGATTCCGGCTCCCAGTGCCTGGGAGCAGAGGTCACCTTCAAGTACAGAGCAGAGGACCCCTCCCCTACCACATAAATATAAATACACAGCCACCCCAATATAAATACACAGCCAAGCTGACACAGGGGGGGCCCTCCACAACTGGATGTGCCCCTGTTGTCACCAGGGGCTTCATCCTTTCCCACAACCAAAGAAATTTGGGTCTAGCTCCTGGGAGCGCACTTCCAGCCCACTCCCCACCCCATGCCCAGGCCAAGTCCGGTAAGAAGGTAAGTGGGGGCAGTGGGAAGCAGCCACCCACGAGGAACCCAAAACCAGGCCCCTGACCCAGGCTGTGTTTTTCCTACCACCCGCTCAGCACCCAGAACCCACCTGGACAAACAGGTTTTCAGGAACTGCTGAGCCAATGAGGTGAAGGAAGGAGAAAGTTCTTTCCCAACAAGATTCCACCAAACTGGAAGAGAACCCCATCAAGAATTGCAAGGGCTGGTCACCAAAAAGGACTTTGACCGGCCCCCCCCCCCCAATCCCTACCCTGCCCTGGGGACACAGATGGGACCCTCCTTTTCCAAGACACCAGGATAGACTCAGTCAGCTACACCCACCCAAATCCCTTCAGGGAGGATGGATTAAATTCCCAGAGAACTGGGTGCTCTGGGTGGGCGCCTCAGGCACTGGGAGGGAACTGGAGCCTTTAAAAACCAGGACAAAAGTATCATTAGATGTAAACTCAGGGAACTGGTCGGCAGTGGGCAGCCTAGTGTCCCAGCTGTTCCCAACTACCTCAGGCCCATCTCCCCGCCATGCAGGGCCTCCTGTGGCTGCTGCTGCCTCTGGGCCTGCAGCTCCCCATTGCTGCCATCTCAGTGAGGGAAGCTCCCTCCAGCCCCAGCCAGGGGGTATCCCCAAAGATGACCCGGCTTCCACGCACCCCTTGGCCGGCAGAGGAAGAAGACCCAGCCTTCTGGAACCGCAAGGCAGCCCAGGCCCTGGATGCAGCTAAGAAGTTGCAGCCCGTGGAGAAGGCGGCCAAGAACCTCATCATGTTCCTGGGGGACGGTGAGTGTGCCAGGCCTGCCCACCCCACACCCCGTACCCTGGCAGACAAGGCCGCCTTGGACACAGCCTGCCCCAGGCCCAGCCTGACACGGTTCTGCTCCGCAGGCATGGGGGTGTCCACAGTGACGGCCGCCCGGATCCTGAAGGGGCAACTGCAAGGCAAGCCGGGGCCCGAGACGGCCCTGGCCATGGACCGCTTCCCCTACATGGCTCTGTCCAAGGTAAGGGCTGGGGCTCCGGGGAGCTGCACCCCAGCAGTGTGGAGGGGCGGGGTGGAGGCTTTAGGGAGCCTGGCAGGAGGGAAGGTGCAGGAAGGGTGACCCTGAGTGGGGGCCCTGGGCATTGAGGACAGGCCCAGGCCTTGGGACCTGAGGACTCTGCTCCCCAGACCTACAGTGTGGACAGGCAGGTGCCAGAGAGTGGAGCCACGGCCACGGCCTACCTGTGCGGGGTCAAGACCAACCACCAGACCGTCGGCGTGAGCGCGGCCGCCCGCTACAACCAGTGCAACACCACCTGGGGCAACCAGGTCACCTCCGTCATGTACCGGGCCAAGGAGGCAGGTTGGTGGCTGGGTGGGGGCAAGGGCAGGGCCTGCGACCCCAGGGCCGGGCTGACCTCTGCCTCCCTCAGGGAAGTCCGTGGGGGTGGTGACCACCACGAGGGTGCAAGACGCCTCCCCGGCCGGCGCCTACGCGCACACCGTGAACCGAGAATGGTACTCAGATGAGGACCTGCCGGAGGACGCCCTGCAGGAGGGCTGCAAGGACATCGCCCACCAGCTGGTCTACAACATGGACATCGACGTGAGACTCCAGCGAAGCAGGGGTGGGATGGGAGAAAGCCAATGGGCCCCCCACTGGGTATATTCCCTTGGGTTAGAGTGAGGCGCTGGGAGACATGGGGGGTGGGCCTGGAGGTTGAAGGCACCGCAGGGGACGGCCATTCCCACAGACCTGGTGGGAGCTGGGCTGTGTGACCGGGGGCGGGGCCGGCCGGGCTCCAACCCACCTGCCCTCCCCTCTGCTCAGGTGATCCTGGGTGGAGGCCGCAAGTACATGTTTGCCAAGGGGACCCCGGACCCCGAGTACACACAGGACTCCAGCCAGAATGGAGTGAGGAAGGACGGGCGCAACCTGGTGCAGGAGTGGCTGGCCAAGCGCCCGGTGAGGGGCTCGTGGGTACGGGGGCACGGCAGGCACAAGGGCAGGGCTGCAGCCGGGGGGCTGGGCACTGAACCCGGTTCTCCCGGCCCCAGGGCGGCCAGTACGTGTGGAACCGCACGGCCCTCCTCCAGGCATCCCAGGACCCCTCTGTGACACACATCATGGGTACGACCCCCCGCACCCCAGCCCGTTTCCTGCCCTGGCTCCTGGGGGGCCTCATTGACCCACTGTCTGCAACCGTCATGGGTGCCCTGCTCCCCAGTGATTGCACCTCCCTTTGCCACAGGCCTCTTTGAGCCAAGAGACATGAAATACGACATCTTAAGAGATCCCAACCAGGACCCATCCCTGATGGAGATGACAGAGGCGGCCCTGCGCCTGCTCAGCAGGAACCCCAAGGGCTTCTTCCTCTTTGTGGAGGGTGAGTGGGCGGGGCCCCTCTTGGAGCAGAAGCGGGAGGGAGGCTGGGCAGAGGGCAGGCTGGACCCCCCCACCTCCCACCGACCTTCCTGCAGGGGGCCGCATCGATACAGGCCACCACGGCTCCATCGCATACCGGGCGCTGACGGAGACCATCATGTTCGACTCCTCCATCGAGAAGGCCGGGCAGCTCACGAGCGAGAAGGACACACTGACCCTGGTCACGGCGGACCACTCGCACGTCTTCACCTTCGGCGGCTACACGCTTCGTGGCTCCTCCATCTTCGGTAGGCCCCGGGGCAGTGTCGGGGCCCGTGTCCTCCATGGGGCGGACACTGCTCTCTGTCATCTGTCCAGGCGGTCAGAGCCGCCCCTGCCGCTCAGGCTGCGCGTTCCTGGCCATGGCCGGCCGGCTGAGCATTCAGGGCCCACAGGCTGTGGGCAGTGCAGTGACGAGACCCTCCTCTCTGCAGGGCTGGCTTCCGGGAAGGCCTCTGATGGCAAGGCCTACACCGCCCTTCTCTATGGCAATGGCCCTGGCTATGCTGCCCATGGCTCCAGGCCGGATGTCACCGAGGCCGAGAGCAGTGAGTGCTGTGCCCGCCCCGATGGGGGTGGGGAGGCCTTACAGGATGTGGCCTTGCCCCCCCTCCTAGCCTGATCCTCACTCTCTGGCCAGGTCACCCCACCTACATGCAGCTGGCGGCCGTGCCCCTGTCTTCCGAGACCCACAGCGGGGAGGACGTGGCCGTGTTCGCGCGGGGCCCGCAGGCGCACCTGCTGCACGGGGTCCAGGAGCAGCACGTCCTGGCCCACCTCATGGCCTTCGCCGCCTGCCTGGAGCCCTACACCCACTGCGGCCTCCAGGGCCCCACCGACGCCGCCCTGCCTGGGCCCGCAGGCGGCCTGACATCCCTGGTGCTGGCGGCCGGGGCGCTGCTGCTGGTTCTCACACCCTGATCGACCCCGGGCCAATTCCTCAAAGTCCCGCTTTCCCTGTTCAGAGGAACGGGGAAGGTCTGCCTCACCCAAGCCCCCACCCCGGCCCCTCGGCAGGACCGTCCCAGCCTCCTAGTAAAGGAACCTGAATCCTCAGACCCAGATGGAGCCCCAGGCTCCCGGCTCCCGGCTCCCTGTGACCCCGCAAGAGGCCTTTCTCTGGGGAGGCAGATGGCTCAGGAGGCACAGGGCCTTGGACACAGTGTCCAGCCTGACCCTCCCAGGGGCCCAGCAGTCACCGCAGAGCCACGAGGACACAGGATGGAGAAAACGCTTCTTGTCCCAAGTGGCCCAGCTGCTCATATTGCTGCCCCAACCCCCCCAAGCCCTAAAATGATGGGGATCCAGGGGCCATGGAGGAAACGGGTACAGAGCAGCCCACGCCCTCCCTGAGGCCATCTGGGCACCAGGCGTGGATTTGTGACAGGGGACACTGCGTCCCTCCTGGGCCCTCTGTCCTGGGAGGAGCCAAGCAAAAGGCAAATAAAATGTTATACAAGGTGATGCCAGTCTGCTGTGTTCTAGAAAGAAGCCACTAGTGTGGGGGGGAGGGAGCACAGGGTGGGCGAAGGGAGGGGGCAGGTCATTCAGCTCAGGGGTCAGGGAGGGGCTGCCTGGCCCAAAGACCAGGAAGGGAGGGCTCAGGACAGCAGCGCCAGGACCCTGAGGTCCGGCCACCAGGGGCCAGGGAGCCCAGCAGCTGGGGCAGAGAGGCCAGCGGGGGTGGGAAGGGAGCGAGCACCCCAGGGGTGGGCAGGGCCTGCAGGGGAGCTGGCTCTTTCTCCACAGCAGGTGGGCAGGAGGCCCTGAGCCGGGGCACGGCAGGGCCTGCTCCTGGAGAAGCCCATCTGGCCGGGGCAGGGAGGCCTCTGCTCTGGCCCATGTGGGGGGAGGGACACTGGGGCCTCAGACCCTCGGGGGGAGGGTCAGCGCCAGCCTTCCTGTCTGGAAACATTCTGGAGCACCCACTCCCATAACCGCAGCTCCCGAGGGCCACAACCCCCCCACACAAGGTGCATTTGCATCCGGTTCTTCTACCCTGTGGAGATGCAGCAGGCGGACCTCAGGGGCCAGCACCTCAGGACACAGCCCATCAGGGCCTCTGTCGGCCCTCCCCACCCCACCCCGAGTCTGAGGGCTACCCCGGTGCCCCAGCCTGCAGCCCATCCTGGCTCCCCCCAATAGTAGAACCCCACCTAACCTGCCCCAGGCAGCCTGGCACACCAACTCGTGTCCTTTAAGGGGGCCCCCTCCCATGCACCCCCCTGCACCCCTACACCCAGTGTCCCCCTCTTGCGGGTCTTCCTGATGAGAGCTGGGTGCTGAGTGGATGCTGTTCAAGGTGTTCCTGAAGCAGGTCTTCTCCTGGACCCCAAACTGCATGGGGGAGGGGCTCTTCTCAGGGCCTGCCGCCCCCTGCACTCAGGGCCCGTTAGCCCAGGGACCCAGGCTTCTCTGGCACTGGAAGGTCTCCCTGAGGCTCTCAGCCGGGGCTTGTAGGCCAGGCAGGGGTCAGGGCACCCCTCATTTTCCCTGCCCACGGCCTCGGCCTGAGCAGGAGCCCAGGGGGCCCACCGTCACCTCATGTCCTGGGCTGTGGGCAGAGGAGGTGAGAGTGGGCCAGGCCTCAGGGAGAACCCTCAAGATCCAAGGGAGAAAACTGTCACCAGGGTGGGCAGAGGAGAGGACAGAGCGGGGCCGAGATGCCTGTGAGAAGCGCTGGGTCATTCGTTCTGGTTGCACAGGATTCTTCTCCGACCTCAGCCCACGAATCCTGAGCTCAGCAACAGAAGCAGGAGGAGAAGCTGCTCTGGGGACTTTAACAGAGCACGAAGGGGCTACCGGGGTCCACTGTGGAGGGTGAGGGGCAGACTGGAAGGAGGCTCTTTCCTCTGAAATAGTTCTGAAATAGTGCTAAGAAGCACAGTATAAAACTCACTATTTTCCAGTGTCACTCTTTGTAAGTGTTCATCTCACTTGGATTTACTGGGTAACAGATTCCAGAACTGCCTCCCCCTGCAAGACTGACCCTCTGATGCCCAGTGAACACAGCTCCCGCTGCCCCTGCTCCCAGCCCAGGTGCCCACCGTTCTGCTTCGTGTCTGTGCACTGACTACATTAGACACGTCCTGTGAGCTGGACCGCCCAGTGTTGCCCTTCCTGGCACTGGCTTATTTCATGAGCATCATGTCCTCAAGGTTTATGCCTGTTCTTATGGGACCAAAATCAATTCCTTTTGAGGGCTGAGTAGTATTCCACGGAAGCTGAACTCACCCTGTTGATCCATTCATCTGCTGACGGGTTCTTGAGTTGTTTGCGCCTTCGGGCCACTGTGAATAATGCTGATGTCAATACGATGGGCTTCAGATGATGGAATTCAACGTGTGGGGTTCTTGGGTCCCTCTGAGAAAGAATTTAGCAGACAGTCCCGTTCATCAGCACATGGCAAGTTTATTGAGAAAAGAACAAGGGAAGAGGGACGCCTGCGTGGACACAGGTGGGCCGACTTAAAAGGCAAGAGCTGCGTTGGGCCAGGGCTGTTCTCTTACAATGTTCTTCGGTGGAGTTATGGTGGGAAGTATCCCTCTGGGGTCAGAGTGAGCGGGTCTAAAACCAATAATCCCCTGCCCCATCTCTGACTGATAATCTTTTCTGACCCCACTTTAGATTCCTGGAAATTCCCAGAGCCAGTTTTGAAACAGTTCATTCATGATCCCTGCCTCCACCTCCGTGCCTGCCCTTGTGAGACCTTCCGGCCTGAACTTTCCACCCGAATATCCCATCAAACGTGGATGTGCAAGTATCTTTTAGACACTGTTCTATGGGGGCTGCTAACCCAGAGATATGAAGACCAGACCTGGAGGAAAGCGTTTGAACTCAGCCTAGAGAGACCAAAAACCCCTCGGTCCTTATCAGGAGAGACACCTCGAGGCACTCACGGCATGTGGAGAAAACAGGCCCCTCTAGCCAAGGGAGAGGTCAACCTCCAGTCCAGGACACTGGACCCTTCCCCTAACGCCTCCCTAGGAATCAACGGCAAGCCTGACTCAGAGCTCAAGGGACCCGCTCCACGGTCACCGCCAGCCCCTGTCTCCACCACACAGAACTCAACCCAGGCTCCTAGGCTGCCCCCAGCACGCCCCCCACCCATCTGCCCAGGACAAGGCTGGTAGGAAGCAAGAGGGGACCTGGACAGCTAGGACATCCCCACGCGCTCCTGCCCACTCCCTGGACCTGATGGCATCAGGATTCCATACCAGGCCCCTACTCGGTCTGGGTACGACTCACCCACCTCCTCAGCCTGGCCAAGCAGGCACTCAGGAAATACTGAGCAATCAGGGAGAGGGGAGGTTTGAGGGCTCTCCTACAAGAGTCCCCCCGACACCCGCCCCCAGCTGAACGTTGGGAATCCACCCCCATCAGGAAGCTGCAAATCCTATTGACGCAAAAAAAAAAAAAAAAAAGAAAGTATCTAATCCCCGCCCTACCCTGCAGACACAGCTGAGGACCCTCCTGGGTGGGGTGGATCAGCCGCAGGGGCTGGGTGGGGTGGGTGTCTAGGGTGCTGGGCGGGACGAGAGCGCGTTCCAGCCAGGAAAACCCATTTAAACGCAAGCTACTGACACAGCAGCTGAGACCCCCGTCACAGCCTTTCCAGGGCCAGGCTCAGCAGGCTCCTTCGTGGAGTCCCGGCCTCGCCACCCTCCTCTTCCCGAGACATGCAGGGCCTCTGGCGGCCGCTACTGGCCTTGGGCCTGCTGCTCTTCCTTGGCCTCAGCCTCCTCACAGCCAAAGAGGCACCGTTGCGCCTGAGTCAGGGGACACCCCAAGAGATGGCCCGGCCTCCACGCACCCCTTGGCCGGCGGGGGAAGAAGACCCAGCCTTCTGGAACCGCAAGGCAGCCCAGGCCCTGGATGCAGCTAAGAAGTTGCAGCCCACGAAGAAGGCGGCCAAGAACCTCATCATGTTCCTGGGGGACGGTGAGTGTGCCAGGCCTGCCCACCCCACACCCCATACCCTGGCAGACAAGGCCGCCTTGGACACAGCCTGCCCCAGGCCCAGCCCGACACGGTTCTGCTCCGCAGGCATGGGAGTGTCCACAGTGACGGCCGCCCGGATCCTGAAGGGCCAACTGCAAGGCAAGCCGGGGCCCGAGACGCCCCTGGCCATGGACCGCTTCCCCTACGTGGCTCTGTCCAAGGTAAGGGCTGGGGCCCCGGGGAGCTGCACCCCAGCAGCGGGGGGAGGTGGGGGGTGGGGAGCCGGGCAGGAGGGAGATGCCCAAAAAGGGCGGGTCAGTTCCAAGAGTCTCAGGAAACGCGGCCACCCCCAGGGCCAGGGGACCTGAGAGCATTCTCTGCCCCCAGACCTACAACGTAGACAGGCAGGTGCCCGACAGCGCGGGCACAGCCACGGCCTTCCTGTGCGGGGTCAAGGCTCACTTCCAAACCCTCGGCGTGAGCGCGGCCGCCCGCCACGGCCAGTGCAGCACCACCCGGGGCAACGAGGTCACCTCCGTCATGTACCGGGCCAAGAAAGCAGGTCGGTGGCCGCTGGGGGCAAGGGAGGGCCCGGGGCCTCGGGGCCAGGCTGACCTCTGCCTCCCCCAGGGAAGTCCGTGGGGGTGGTGACCACCACGAGGGTGCAGCACGCCTCCCCGGCCGGCGCCTACGCGCACACTGTGAACCGAGGCTGGTACTCAGACGCCAACATGCCCCAGGACGCCCTGCAGGAGGGCTGCAAGGACATCGCCCACCAGCTGGTCTACAACATGGACATCGACGTGAGACGCAAAGGGGGGTGCAGGCGGGGTGACCTCCAACTGCCCTCAGTCCCTGAGGCCTGGCTGGGTCTGCGGGCATTTGGGGAGGGCGTGTGGGGAGGAGGGAAGAGGAGGAAGCCCTGGTGGGAGCTGGGCTGTGTGAACGGGGGCGGGGCCGGCCGGGCTCCAAGCCACCTGCCCTCCCCTCTGCTCAGGTGATCCTGGGTGGAGGCCGCAAGTACATGTTTGCCAAGGGGACCCCGGACCCCGAGTACACACAGGACCCCAGCCAGAATGGAGTGAGGAAGGACGGGCGCAACCTGGTGCAGGAGTGGCTGGCCAAGCGCCCGGTGAGGGGCTCGTGGGTGCGGGGGCACGGCAGGCACAAGGGCAGGGCTGCAGCCGGGGGGCTGGGCACTGAACCCGGTTCTCCCGGCCCCAGGGCGGCCAGTACGTGTGGAACCGCACGGCCCTCCTCCAGGCATCCCAGGACCCCTCTGTGACACACATCATGGGTACGACCCCCCGCACCCCAGCCCGTTTCCTGCCCTGGCTCCTGGGGGGCCTCATTGACCCACTATCTGCAACCGTCATGGGTGCCCTGCTCCCCAGTGATTGCACCTCCCTTTGCCACAGGCCTCTTTGAGCCGGGAGACATGAGCTATGAGATCTTAAGAGACCCCAACCAGGATCCATCCCTGATGGAGATGACAGAGGCGGCCCTGCGCCTGCTCAGCAGGAACCCCAAGGGCTTCTTCCTCTTTGTGGAGGGTGAGTGGGCGGGGCCCCTCTTGGAGCAGAAGCGGGAGGGAGGCTGGGCAGAGGGCAGGCTGGACCCCCCCACCTCCCACCGACCTTCCTGCAGGGGGCCGCATCGACCATGGCCACCACGAGGGCATCGCATACCGGGCGCTGACGGAGACCATCATGTTCGACTCCTCCATCGAGAAGGCCGGGCAGCTCACGAGCGAGAAGGACACACTGACCCTGGTCACGGCGGACCACTCGCACGTCTTCACCTTCGGCGGCTACACGCTTCGTGGCTCCTCCATCTTCGGTAGGCCCCGGGGCAGTGTCGGGGCCCGTGTCCTCCATGGGGCGGACACTGCTCTCTCCCATCTGTCCAGGGGGTCAGAGCCGCCCCTGCCAAACAGCTCCTGTGAGGATTAAGGCACAGGGGACACCCCATATGCGATGGTATTGGGGTCACTAAGTGTCCTTCTTCCACCAGGACTGGCCCCCGAGAAGGCCTCCGATGGCAAGAGCTACACCTCCATCCTATATGGCAACGGCCCTGGGTACCCACTACTCTCACCTTCCAGGCCCAATGTCACCGAGGCCGAGAGCAGTGAGTGCTGTGCCCGCCCCGATGGGGGTGGGGAGGCCTCACGGGATGTGGCCTCGCCCCCCCTCCTCAGCCTGATCCTCACTCTCTGGCCAGGTAAAAAAACCTACCTTGCACAGGCGGCCGTGCCCCTGACCTCTGAGACCCACGGCGGGGAGGACGTGGCCGTGTTCGCGCGGGGCCCGCAGGCGCACCTGCTGCGCGGGGTCCAGGAGCAGCACGTCCTGGCCCACGTCATGGCCTTCGCCGCCTGCCTGGAGCCCTACACCGACTGCGGCCTCCAGGATATTGAGGGTACCAGGCCCTCCGACGCTGCCCTTCCCGGGCCGGCTGCCACCCCCCCGTCCCTGCTGCTGCTGGCCGGGGCGCTGCTGCTGCTGGTGACCAGCGCCCCCTGACCCAGCCACCTCCCGCGCGGGACTCCTTCCCTCAAAGTCCCACTTTCCCCGTTCAGGGTCTGCCCCACCCAAGCCCCCACTTTCAGAGGCAGCCCCCACCCCGGCCCCTTGGCAGGACCGTCCCAGCCTCCTAGTAAAGGAACCTGAATCCTCAGACCCAGATGGAGCCCCAGGCTCCCGGCTCCCTGTGACCCCGCAAGAGGCCTTTCTCTGGGGAGGCAGATGGGTCAGGAGGCACAGGGCCTTGGACACAGTGTCCAGCCTGACCCTCCCAGGGACCCAGCAGTCACCGCAGAGCCACGAGGACACGGGATGGAGAAAACGCTTCTTGTCCCAAGTGGCCCAGCTGCTCACATTGCTGCCCCAACCCCCACAAACCCTAACAGAATGGGGATCCAGGGGCCATGGAGCAAACTGGGGTGCAGAGCAGCCCACCCCCTCCCTGAGGCCATCTGGGCACCAGGCGTGGATTTGTGACAGGGGACACTGCGTCCCTCCTGGGCCCTCTGTCCTGGGAGGAGCCAAGCAAAAGGCAAATAAAATGTTATACAAAATGATGCCAGACTGCTGTGTTCTAGAAAGTCAATGGTATGGGGGCAACATGTGGGCGAGGGGAGGGGGCAGGTCATTCAGCTCAGGGGTCAGGGAGGGGCTGCCTGGCCCAAAGACCAGGAAGGGAGGGCTCAGGAGAGCAGCGCAAGGGCCCTGAGGTCCGGCCACCAGGGGCCAGGGAGTCCAGCAGCTGGGGCAGAGTGGCCAGCAGGGGTGGGCAGGGCCTTCAGGGGAGCTGGCTCTTTCTCCACAGCAGGTGGGCAGGAGGCCCTGAGCGGGGGGCACGGCAGGGCCTGCTCCTGGAGAAGCCCATCTGGCGGGGCAGAGAGGCCTCTGCTCTGGCCCATGTGGGGGGAGGGACACAGCGGCCTCAGACCCTCAGAGGGGAGGGGGCGCAGCCTTCCTGTCTGGAAACATTCTGGAGCACCCACTCCCATAACCGCAGCTCCCGAGGGCCACGCCCCCCCAAAGGGAACACCCCAGCAAGGTGAAATCCTCCTTCTGTCAACACTTCTGCAAAGCGACGATCTCTGCGCACACTCCCCACGTGCCCACGAGCATTCTGCTTCTTTAAAATTATTCATTTGACCGGCTCTGCTCCTTATTTCCTAAAGCTTGATTTCACTCTCTCAAACTCCCGTGGGCAGGCCTGGCTCCTCAGGTACCTTATTTCAGCCCTGGCGTTGGAGGCTCCCACAGCTCCACGCAGCCCGAATGGGAGCGAGTCGGCAGCTGCCCGCTCCTCAGCCCGCTCAGCTGGACTCCATCCCCCAATCACACACGGGCTCTGGGGCCTCAGGCCCTGTGCTTCTGCCCTCCCTGCTTCAGCCCTGCCTCGGGTGCTTCATAACCAGGGTCAAACCCAGGGAGCTTCCAAGCTACAACTCACGGTGTTAACCACAGGCTCACCCAGAGTTAGTATTGGGGATCACTCGAACACCCTAAAGGCCCCGGACGGTGCGCTGGGAGAGCGACATGGTTGGTATGTAAATTGTTTCTAATTTTTAAAGTGTTTAAGTGTGTGTGTTGTCGGGAGCTTCACGGGTCAGACACCCGGGCCACAAAATCAGGTCAGTGTGAACCCCAACATGCAGGCTGACAGCTTGCCTTCAAGGGCGGGTGCCGGGCGTGCTTTGTTATTTTTTCAAGCTTTCTGTTGGTGTCTAAGACTGACGGCTCTTGTCACCCATGAAATGTCATCATGTTGGTCTCAGAAATATTGATGGGGTTGTGAGTGTGGCATCCAGGAGGTGTTGGCAGACCACGGGCCTTGTAGAGTGTAGAGCTGGGCTGCCCCGCAGCTTTCCTCCCCAGGAGGCTGGGCGTCTGCTCTGGGGAGTCCCCTCACCAGGACTCGGAGCCTGTCCCGGGAGCAGGCGCACAGCTCCCGCCATCGGGCTGGATGACGCTGCCACCCAGAAAATGCCGTCCTTCACCACTGTCTGCGCCCGAGTCTGTACCTACGGCCCCACGAGAAGTAATAATACCGGAGAGCGGTTCGTGCCCATGTCAGGGCCAGCACTCCCTCCCCCTCGGGACACTCGCACACAGTTGGTAACAGCGGTTTGGGTTGGACAGGGAAGGCCTGTGAGGACCAGGTGAGGCTGGATTGCTGATGTCTGCTAATAAACAAGATGTTGCAGGGAGTGGATGGTCGCCACAATCACCCCACCGTGGAGAAGAACACCGACCCGGGCTCGGGGTGGCCTCTGCGAGTGTGCTGTGCCCCGCTGGCCAGCGACACGCTGAGAAGGGACGATGTCACAACTGAGAGCAAAGGACCCCCAGGCCTTGTCTCAGAGACTGTCTCTCAAGGAAGTTCTGGGCTTGTCCTCAAGCTGCAAAAACTGATTGGATGTATTTTTTTTTTTTCCCTAAAGATTTATTTATTTATTTATACCAGCACTGGGTACAGTCAGAAGCTCAGGAGGGTGAGAGAATTCACCAGAGCCAGTGTGGGCAGCTTCGCAACCCAGCGCTCAACCGCTGCGCCACCGGGGAGGCCCAATTGGATGTATTTTTAATGAATGGATTTAAACTTTTTCTATAAGTAGAAAAATGAGAACTACGTATCTGAAAGGCAAGATGAGGCCTCATAATCTGCTTTCTCTTTTGAGGAGCAAGAATCTAAATCCATGATGGCAATATTATTTTTTTGTTTTACATAGAAGAAGCGGGGTGTAGGCCAGAAGTGCGGGAGGGGCAGGGGTGGGAAGATTCACAGGAGACAAAGTGGGGAACAGAACAGGCAGATCTACTGAAATCCACTGCTGAGGGGAGCAGCGGGGAGACAGGAGAGGTCTGCTGCGCCATGTGGTTTTCTCCCTGGCTGGGGATCAAACTCATGCTGCAGAGGCTGCGGGAAGCTTCATAGGTTGCGTCTTAACCCCTTGCGCCACCAGGGAGGCCCCTGTCCAGTTGTTCTTTTTAAAAAAAAAGGAAGAGGAAATAAAAATTAAAAATTTGTGTTGAAGTTCCATGGCCTTACTACATCAGATCCAGCTGTGCTTCACCACAGTGGTCTTCAAGCAGGAGGGGAAGTCAGACCTCACCATCGCCCTTTACAGTGATTTGCCATAAAGATGACTCTGATGTGGTTCAGAAAGTTCTCCAGATGCCATCTTATCACCAAGGTTCATAAAGCTTCTCTTCTTGTACAGTCTGCTTTATAAAGTGAAGGCACAGGTGGCTCCGGCAGCATTTTATGGACCCTCCTGGGGCTTTCCTGAAAGGTCTTGAGTGTGGATTGTCCATGAGTTTTGCAGGTGCTGCCACCTCCTTATCCAGTATCCTATTTAAGGAAAGTCTTTCCGCGTGGCTGTTGCATGCATGGACAGACACTCCCTGCTTACCCCCCAGAGGTCGATTTTACCAACCCAAGCACCTGCCCTCGGGAGCGCATCTTCTCTGCCATCCTGCTCCTGGAGAGCCACACGCCGAGGCCTGCGTATGTCATTATCAGGGCAGAGGCCCGCAGGTACCCGGAGCCTGCAGGTGCTGGTAGCAACACCTGCACTTCCAGCCGAGTGGAGCCAACCTCCCACACTGAGTCATTTGCTCTGATCCCTCCTTCCAATCTACCGCAGCGTTTTCCTCTCATCTTCCCACAGAATATGCTGACAAAGAAATGCCTTTCGGTTTGTCAACAGATCATTTTCCGCTCATTGTTTCTGCCATTTTTACAGCAGCGGAAAGAACACGTGCCCAGCGGTGGGTGATAATTGTCACACTGGCCCCCTAAGGGCAGCGGGCAGAGTGACCTGAGACACCCTCACCCCCAGGGCCAAGGTTGGGCACCAGGTTCCTCCCCCCCCACCAGCCAACGGGGACAGAGGAGCCCTGTCTCATTCACCTGCCAAGAAGGGAAGAGGCGGGGTTCTATGGGGCCCACTGGCCTCCCTCAGGCCTTGCCACCCCGGGCCCCTACCCTCCCTCTTTCCCAGAGGGTTTGGGCAGTGGGTGCATCTGTGTGACGCATCCATGCACCCTGGGCAGGGCCTTGTTCAGCCACACAAGTGGGCACGTGGGTCTGCGTGCTCCTTGTCTGTGCCCAGCAGGGCCTGCGGGGCCCGAGGGGCAGTGAGGGGCAGCGAGGGATCTCACCCGCTGGTTGTAGACAGTGAAGTTGTCGTAGAGGTGGACAATGCACTCCGCCTTGCGCAGGAAGCGGCTGTAGGAGGCCTCTGTCCACCAGTGCAGCAGGTTGCCCGAGCGGTCATACTGGCCCCCTGTGGGCAGCGGGCAGGGTGACCTGAGACACCCTCACCCCCAGAGCCAGGGCTGGGCACCAGGTCCCTCCCCCGACCAGCCAACGGGGACAGAGGAGCCCTGGGCCTCAGTGCACCCCTCACCCGCAGCCTCCCACCGCCTGCCCCCACCACCCCTCAGGCCGCCCACAGGCCTCACCCCAGTCATCGTAGCCGTGGGTCAGCTCGTGCCCGATGATGGTGCCGATGCCCCCGAAGTTCAGAGACCTGTGCCCACGGCAGCAGCGTCAGGCCCGGCCTCCCCGCGGAGGCCCCCAGGCCGCAGGCCACAGCCCAGGAGGCCCCGCCAGGCCAGGCGGCGCCCAGGGGCCACCCTGGTGTCTGCTGCGTCCCGGGCCGGGGCCTCGGCGCCCGCGTGGGCTGGGGCACAGGCAGCGTCGCTGCCCGGCGGCCTTCCAGGAGACAGCACCCCGCAGCCGGACGGGGGGACAGGGCCGGGAAGGCGGGAACCTGAGGCGCCCCACGGGGATTTGGCCGCGCGCCTCCTCTCGGGGCCTGGGCTGGCCCCGCCCACACCCAGCTCCAGGCCCCGCCCACACCCCTCGCCCCGCCCACACCCAGCTCCACGCCCCGCCCCGGAGGGACACGCCCCTTACCCAGCTGGTTCTTGTTGGGGAGATAGTAGGCATTGAGTGCCTGTGGGGGGAGCAGCCACCTATGGAGGGAGGGGTCAGCTGAGGGGTCCACTGCCCCCCCACTGCCCGCCCCACCTATCCTGCGCCTCCTCCAGGGCTTCTCCTGTGACCCAGCCCACAGCCGGGTCCTAGCCCAGTGCCCCAGGGCAGAACCCCACCTACCACCTGCCGAGGCCCTGGGGCCCCCCAACCAGCACGGGTGAGGCAGTTTGCCTCTCTAGCCTCCTGGCCTTGGTGAGGAGCCTCCTCCTATGGCACCCCCTGGACCCCTCCTCCCCGCAGCTGCAGGCCAGGCACCCACGTGGGCTTGTCCCCCTCCTGCGCGTCTTCCTGATGAGAGCTGGGTGCTGGAGCGGATGCTGTTCAAGATGTGAAGCAGGTCTTCTCCTGGACCTCAAACTGCATGGGGGAGGTTACGCCCGTCTTTTACCCCTGCCCACCACTGGGGTTTTGGCAGGAGTCCTGGCAGCCCACAGCCCACCATGTGCTGGAGCTGGGGCAGAGATGGTGAGAGTGGGCCAGAGCCTCAGGAGGCAGTAGCAGCAGCCCCAAAGGAGAAGACTCTAGGGCAGCCTAGGGGTGGGGGTGGGGGGTTGTGGGGGGCTGCTGGAATCACCTGTCAAAAAGCAGCTATTAATTAATTCTGGATCTGCCAGAAACTGCTCTCCCCGACTTTAGCCAAGGATTTCCCTGGCACAGCAAGTGAAGCTGGGGAGAAGGAGGTCTGGAGAAACTGGAGGTCTCAGACACCAGGAAGGAAGCCTGGGGCTTTGGTTTCCAGAGATCTGGAAGGTTGCCAGGTGCTGTGCGAGCTGGTAGAGGGCAGAGAAGGAAGCCAGGATGCTCCTCCTGAGGACCTCATGTAGAGGGGGTGTTAGGGGGAAATGATGTCCTGAGTTAATCCCACACAGGCTTTGTGGACCCCACCCCCACTCCAGACTAAAGCCATCAGGACATTGGGAAAGACAAATCCCATCACCACCAAGGGGAGGGTGGCTGGGACCTGAGGGTGGAGTTGGGCAGCCAGGTTGGGTATAAAAACCAAACACGTGGGCCTTGGGGTGGCTTGCTATCGCCACCTGGCTTCACGGCTCCTGGCTGGCGGGCAGCTCTCAGAGCGCCATTTGGGATTCCTGATCGGCGGATCGGGTCGGACGCATTTAAAACTTTGTCTCCCCTGGATCAAGAAGATGTGGTACATATATACCATGGAATATTACTCAGCATTCAAAAAAGATAAACACATGCCATTTGCAGCAACATGGATGGCGCTGGAAGGGATCATGCTCAGCGAAATAAGCCAGAAAGAAAAAGAAAAATACCGGGTGGTCTCACTCATAGCAGGGATCTAGAAAACTTAAATAAGGGACCAGGAAAATGAATAACTATAAGAAAGTGAAAATCAAAATCAACAAAAAACTATGAACCAGAGACACTTTTTTGGGGGCGGGAGGGGAGGGATTGGAGTCAGAATGGGGGGGCTGCAATTGTATGGGGAATATAACAATAAAATTTATTATTAAAAAAAAATAATAAAAAAAAAATAAAACTTTGTCTCCCACTTTTCTCCCTGAGCTGTACATCTCCTCATTTCCCCTTCCCTTGAAAATAAACCTTTTATTAACCTTTCGCGTGTGCCTGCAGTAGAGCATGGATAAGTCCTTTTAAGCGCGTGGGTGAGGACCCACAGTCAGGCACCCCGTTTTGTATCAGGGTTGCTCTACAAAAGGGGCACTGCTGGGGGAGGCAGGCCCTGGTTCCGGTGGCCCTGGTTCTGGTTCAGGGGCCATGCCAGGGCTGAGATGGCAGGTGGCCCCAGCACACAGTGGGATACCTTGATGCACAAGGGGAAGCAGAAGACTTTTTCTTGGAAGAAAATTTCAAATTGTGATAAAAAGCAAATTATAAAATTTACCATCTACCATTTTTAAGGGTGCGGTTCAGTGGCATTAAGTGCATTCACATAGTTGTGTAACAGATTCCAGAACTGTCTCACCCTGCAAGACTGACCCTCTGATACCCACCCAGTAAACACAGCTCCTGCTGCCCCTCCTCCCAGGCCGGGTGCCCACCGTACTACTTCGTGTGTGTGCATTTATTTTAGACACGTCCTATAAATTGGACCACCCAGTATTTCCCTTCCTGTGACTGGCTAATTTCATGAGCATCATGTCCTCAAGGTTCATGCCTGTTATAATGTGACCAAAATCAATTCCTTTTGAAGGCTGAGTAGTATTCCACGGAAGCTGAACTCACCATGTTGATCCATTCATCTGTTGATTCTTGAGTTGTTTGCACCTTTGGGCTATTGGGAATAATGCTGTTTGAACATGGGTGCGGAAATATCCTTTAAAGATCCTGCTTTCAGGGCCTCCCCAGTGGCGCAGTGGTTGAGCGCTGGGCTACAAAGCAGCCTGCAGCCTCTGCAGCGCTGGTTTGATCCCCGGTCGCTGGGCGAGGGTCCCACATGGCGCGCAGACCTCTCCTGCCGCCCGCTGCTCCCCTCAGCAGTGTCCTTCGGTCCTTCTGCCTGCTCTGCTCCCCGCTCTGGCTCTGGTGAATTCTCTCACCCTCCCGCGCTTCTGACTGTACCCAGTGCTTGTAAAAATAAATAAATCTTTTAAAAAAAATTAAAAGATCCTGCTTTCAATTTTTTGGGCTATAAAATCAGAAGTGTGATTACTGGATGGGAGGAAAGCTTTTGAACTCAGCCTAGCGGGACCAAACCTTTTAAGCCATTATCAGGAGTGACACCTGTGGGCGTGTATGGGCTGTGGAGAAAACAGATTCACATTGGCTTCCAGGAACAGGTCCCAGGGAGCGGAGGTCAACCTGACTACTTAGCACTGGCCCCACCCTGCCTGTCCTCCACTCCGCCCGCCACCCCCACCCCCACCCCTGCACACACAAGCACGGACCCTCACTGGAAGGCCTGCCCAGCACAGCCCGGGCAGGAGATGCACACACGGTCCCACTCTCTTGTCACCAGCAGCCCCACCCTTTCCCATAGCACAGAAACTCTAGGCCCAGGTTCCTGGGTTTCCCCTCCAGCCCAGCATCCACCCCAGGCCAGGGCAAGCCTGGTGAGTGGCTAAGTGCAAGGGGGCAGGCGTGTGCTTCCAGCCCGATCTGCAGGTCTCGGGGCATCAGAAACCCAAACCAGGCCCTTGACCCAGGCTGGGTGCTTCCCACCCGCCTCCCCCAGCTCCACGACGCCCTGGCAGAGCAGGTTTTCAGGAAATGCTGAGCCAACAAGATGGAGGAAGGGGGGCCGGCTCTCCCTAGAGATTGTGTTGGCACAGAGGATAGAGAGTGGCCCCAGCAGGACACTGCAAATGCTGGTCTGGGCACCACACCAGGGCTCAGGTGGTGAGGCGGCCCCAGTGTACAGAGGTATCTGACCCGATCCCCACCCTCCCCTGGGGAGCAGCTGAGGACCCGCTTGAGAGGGATGGACCTGCTGTTTCGAGGCACCCGTCATGAAGCTCCCTCAGCCACGCCCGGCCACTTCCCTTTGCCTGCAGGACTTCAAACAACAGGGCAGGGGCAGGGGCAGTGTGGCCGAGGGTGGTGGGAGGGACATGGAAGCTTTTATAGCCAGGGGTAAAGTCCTCTCATGACTGTAGCCCAGGCTGCTGTCCTACAGCTAGTGCCCTGCTTCCCCAGTCTAGCTGCACCGGAGCCCAGCGTCTTCCAGGTCCCGCCTCTACCACACCACCGCCATGCAGGGAGGCCTGCGGCTGCTGCTGCTCGGCCTGTTCCTCCCACTGGCCCTTGGAGTTATCCCAGGTAATGACGCCCCTCCCAGCAAACTCCAGCCATCAAAGGGGCCCCCCAAGACTGACCCCGTCTCCACTCACCCCTTTGCCAGTTGAGGAAGAAGACCCAGCCTTCTGGAACCGCAAGGCCGCTGAGGCCCTGAACATCGCTAAGAAGTTGCAGCCCATCAACACCAAGGCCAAGAACCTCATCATGTTCCTGGGGGACGGTAGGTATGGGCCTGAGTATGCCAGGCCGGTCCCACCCCACACCCCCACGCCCTGGCACCCAAGGCTGCCTGTGACAGAGGCCAGGCCTGGGGTCCAAGGCTGACAAGTTCCTACCAGGAATGGGACTACCCACCGTGACGGCTGCCCGGATCCTGAAGGGGCAATTGAATGGCAAACTGGGGCCTGAGACGCCCCTGACCATGGACGGCTTCCCCTACGTGGCTCTGTCCAAGGTAAGGGCTGGGGCCCCAGGGAGCTGCACCCCAGCAGTGTGGGGTGGCAGGGAGCCTGGCAGGAGGGACAATGCGGGAACGTTGGACCTGAGTAGGGCCCCTGGGCACTGACAACAGGCCCAGGCCTTGGGACCTGAGGATTTGTGGTCCCCAGACGTACAATGTGGACAGACAAGTGCCCGACAGCGCAGGCACAGGCACGGCCTACCTGTGCGGGGTCAAGGCCAACTACGAGACCATCGGCGTGAGCGCGGCCGCCCGCCACAGCCAGTGCAACACCACCCGGGGCAACGAGGTCTTCTCGGTCATGTACCGGGCCAAGAAAGCAGGTCAGTGGCCGCTGGGGGCAAGGGAGGGCCCGGGGCCTCGGGGCCAGGCTGACCTCTGCCTCCCCCAGGGAAGTCCGTGGGGGTGGTGACCACCACGAGGGTGCAGCACGCCTCCCCGGCCGGCACCTACGCGCACATCGTGAACCGAGACTGGTACTCAGACGCCAACATGCCCCAGGACGCCCTGCAGGAGGGCTGCAAGGACATCGCCCACCAGCTGGTCTACAACATGGACATCGACGTGAGACGCAAAGGGGGGTGCAGGCGGGTGCAGTCCCTGAGGCCTGGCTGGGTCTGCAGGCATTTGGGGAGGGAGTCTGGGGAGGCGGGAAGGGGAGGAAGCCCTGGTGGGAGCTGGGCTGTGTGAACTGGGGCGGGGCCGGCCGGGCTCCAACCCACCTGCCCTCCCCTCTGCTCAGGTGATCCTGGGTGGAGGTCGCAAGTACATGTTTGCCAAGGGGACCCCGGACCCCGAGTACCCAAATAATCTCACCCAGAATGGAATCAGGAATGATGGGCGCAACCTGGTGTTGGAGTGGCTGGCCAAGCACCCGGTGAGGGGCTCGTGGGTGCGGGGGTACAGCAGGCACAAGGGCAGGGCTGCAGCCGGTGGGCTGGGCACTGAACCCGGTTCTCCCGGCCCCAGGGCGGCCAGTACATGTGGAACCGCACGGCCCTCCTCCAGGCATCCCAGGACCCCTCTGTGACACACATCATGGGTACGACCCCCCGCACCCTGAGCCCGTTTCTTACCCTGGCTCCCAGGAGGCCTCATTGACCCACTGTCTGCACTGTCATGGGTGCCTGCTCCCCAGCTCCCCAGTCACTGCACCCCACTTTCCCACAGGCCTCTTTGAGCCAGGAGACACAAAATACGAGCTCAACAGAGACCCCAGCCGGGACCCATCCCTGATGGAGATGGTGGAGGCGGCCCTGCGCCTGCTCAGCAGGAACCCCAAGGGCTACTACCTCTTTGTGGAGGGTGAGTGGGCGGGGCCCCTGGCAAGGGGGTGGGGTCCGATCAGCGGACACTGCCCCTCATGTGTCCCCTTCCCGCAGGGGGCCGCATCGACCACGCTCACCACGACGGGCTGGCCCACTTGTCACTGCACGAGGCCGTCATGTTCGATTACACCATCGAGAAGGCCGGGCAGCTCACGAGCGAGAAGGACACACTGACCCTGGTCACGGCGGACCACTCGCACGTCTTCACCTTCGGCGGCTACACGCTTCGTGGCTCCTCCATCTTCGGTAGGCCCCGGGGCAGTGGCGGGGCCCGTGTCCTCCATGGGGCGGACACTGCTCTCTCCCATCTGTCCAGGGAGTCAGAGCCGCCCCTGCTGAACAGCTCCTGTGAGGATTAAGGCACAGGGGACACCCCATATGCGATGGTATTGGGGTCACTAAGTGTCCTTCTTCCACCAGGACTGGCCCCCAAGAAGGCCTTTGATGGCAAGAGCTACACCTCCATCCTATATGGCAACGGCCCTGGGTACCCACTACTCTCACCTTCCAGGCCCAATGTCACCGAGGCCGAGAGCAGTGAGTGCTGTGCCCGCCCCGATGGGGGTGGGGAGGCCTCACGGGATGTGGCCTCGCCCCCCCTCCTCAGCCTGATCCTCACTCTCTGGCCAGGTAAAAAAACCTACCTTGCACAGGCGGCCGTGCCCCTGACCTCTGAGACCCACGGCGGGGAGGACGTGGCCGTGTTCGCGCGGGGCCCGCAGGCGCACCTGCTGCACGGGGTCCAGGAGCAGCACGTCCTGGCCCACGTCATGGCCTTCGCCGCCTGCCTGGAGCCCTACACCGACTGCGGCCTCCAGGATATTGAGGGTACCAGGCCCTCCGACGCTGCCCTTCCCGGGCCGGCTGCCACCCCCCCGTCCCTGCTGCTGCTGGCCGGGGCGCTGCTGCTGCTGGTGACCAGCGCCCCCTGACCCAGCCACCTCCCGCGCGGGACTCCTTCCCTCAAGGTCCCACTATCCCCGTTCAGGGTCTGCCCCACCCCACTTCTGGCTCCTGGGCAGGACTTTCCCATCCTCCTAGTAAAGGAATCCAAGCCCGCACTCCCTGAGGGGGGTCCCCAGGGCACCCTGAATATGCACTTACTTCCCTGATGCACCCATGGTCCTCCCAGGCTGCTCTCAACTCCCTGCCCCCACTGGGGCTGTCCAGATTTTGGCACCACCTTCACGCCTCACCCAAGGAAAGAGGCCTGGGTCGCCTGTTGTCCCCCTGGAGGACAGACCTGTCATCAGCACTGACCCCGGTGTCTCCCAAGCTGCCACGATGACCTTGCCCGAGGCTTCCCTGCCTTCAGCCTCCTTCACCCGTGGGGAGACACAGCTTTCTGTCACTCTGCCACAGACTCTGTGGCACCCCACTGGCCAGGAGGTTGCTGGAACCAGGAGACCCCGGGTCTCAGACACTGTCCTGGGCTGAGCCTCCGAGGGGCCCAGCAGTCACTGCAGAGGCATGAGGACACAGGAGGAGAAAATGCTTCTTGTCCCAAGTCGCCCAGCTACTCACATGGTGATCCCTTAACCCCCCAAATCCTAAAAGGTTGGGGCTCCAGGGGCCACGGGGAAAACTGGGGTACAGAGCAGCCCACCCCCATCCTGAGGCCATCTGGGCACCAGGCGTGGATTGTGACAGGGGACACTGCGCCCCTCCTGGGCCCTCTGCCCTGGGAGGAGCCAAGCAAAAGGCAAATAAAATGTTATACAAGGTGATGCCAGTCTGCTGTGTTCTAGAAAGAAGCCACTAGTGTGGGGGGTGCAGGGGGAGGAATTGGACACAGTATGGGTGAAGGGAAGGGCCAGGTCATTCAGTTAAGGGGTCAGGAGGGGCTGCCTGGCCCAAAGACCAGGAAGGGAGGGCTCAGGGACAGCAGCGCCAGGGCCCAGAGGTCCGGCCACCAGGGGCCAGGGAGCCCAGCAGCTGGGGCAGAGAGGCCAGCGGGGGTGGGAAGGGAGCGAGCACCCCAGGGGTGGGCAGGGCCTGCAGGGGAGCTGGCTCTTTCTCCACAGCAGGTGGGCAGGAGGCCCTGAGCGAGGGGAAGGCAGGGCCTGTTCCTGGAGAAGCCCATCTGGTGGGGCAGGGAGGCCTCTGCTCTGGCCCATGTGGGGGGAGGGACACAGCGGCCTCAGACCCTCAGGTGGGGAGTGGGGGGCGCAGCCTTCCTGTCTGGAAACATTCTGGAGCACCCACTCCTATAACCGCAGCTCCCGAGGGCCACGCCGCCCCCAAAGGGAACACCCCAGCAAGGTGAAATCCTCCTTCTGTCAACACTTCTGCAAAGCGACGATCTCTGCGCACACTCCCCACGTGCCCACGAGCATTCTGCTTCTTTAAAATTATTCATTTGACCGGCTCTGCTCCTTATTTCCTAAAGCTTGATTTCACTCTCTCAAACTCCCGTGGGCAGGCCTGGCTCCTCAGGTACCTTATTTCAGTCCTGGCGTTGGAGGCTCCCACAGCTCCACGCAGCCCGAATGGGAGCGAGTCGGCAGCTGCCCGCTCCTCAGCCCGCTCAGCTGGACTCCATCCCCCAATCACACACGGGCTCTGGGGCCTCAGGCCCTGTGCTTCTGCCCTCCCTGCTTCAGCCCTGCCTCGGGTGCTTCATAACCAGGGTCAAACCCTAGGGAGGCTCCAAGTTACAGCTTCACAGGTTTGTTTGTTTGTTTTTTAAGGATTTATTTATTTATGCATACAAGAACTGGGCTATAGGCCAGAGGTGCGGGGGGCGGGTGAGAGGACTCACTAGAGACAGAGTGGGGAACAGAACAGGCAGACTGACTGAAATACACTGCTGAGGGGAGCAGCAGGGAGACAGGAGAGGTCTGCTGCGCCATGTGGGTAGCTCCCTGGCCAGGGACGGAACTCAGGCAGCAGTGGCTGGGATAGCTTCACAGTGCTCGTATGTAATCCCTGCGCCAACAGGAGGACCCGGCTTCATGGGTGTTCATCACAGGCTCAGCAGGAATTGGTAGTGATGGTCGCTCAGCTTGAAGACCCTAAGGCCCCGGACTGTGCGCTGGGAGAGTGACATGGTTGGTATGTAAATTGTATCTAATTTTGAAAAGTTTTTAAGTGTGTATATTGTTGGGGGCTTGCGGGTCAGACACCGGGGCCACAAAATCAGGTCTTGTGAACTAAAACAGGCCCGTT